CCGCCTCTTAATCTTTCTCTTTCACTCTTCCTTCCCAGCTCTCCCCGCATCTCTAACGCTTTTCTCCTCACTCTAATCCGCCCCTCCCTTGTCCCCATGTCCTTTCGCTCTCGCCCCTGGCTTTGCCTCTCTTTACCACCTTTATCATTTCCATTCACAGTCGCCTTATCTCCTTCTTTTCCTTTCTTCCTTTTTTCAACCTTTCATTCATTCCCATCACCTAAAGAACCCTCCTCACTCTTCCGCACGCTTATCCACGCGCGCTCTTGCTTCCTCAACGCAACTACACCGCTCTCTCTCCCACCTAACCATCACCCCACGACCTCCAACAACGCTACCCCCTAACCCTATCCCCAGAACCCCCACACGCATAACCGAGCAGACTATTGGCCCTAACCCTCCATCACCGGGAGACCTCCACACGTACTACCCACCTAACTCCATCACCAGACCTCCACACGCGCATAACTTCTAACTCCATCACCCAGACTCCACGCACGCTACCCCGAAACTCCATCGACCAAACTCACTACGCTACCGCGTACACCCAATCACCAGACCGTCCACACGTCTACCGCCCTAACTCCATCCAAGACCACCACACGCGACGCAGTGACCCTAACTCCATCCCAGCCTCCCCACACTACCCCTAACTCCGATCACCAACCTGAAACTCTACTCCCTAATCTCAGCCTCCAGACCTGAAACTCTACGCCCTAATTCATCACCAGACCTGAAACTCTACCCCTAACTCCCCAACCAACCTGAAACCTACCCCCTAACTCCATCACCAGATCTTACGATAACCATCAACGCTAAAAAAATTCGACTACGTAACCCTACCACTGTACTTCAACACTCTGACCAATTAACCCCCAACCCATCACCAGACCTGAAACCCTACCCCTAACTCCATCACCAGATCCTTACGATAACCATCAACCTAATTCGATACGTAACCCTACCACTGTACTTAACTCTGACCATTAACCCACTGTCAACCAAACACCAACACCATCCAAAATGGGGTATGCTAAGACTCACACGTGGTATTGATCGTGCAATGGCCTAGCAATGGCAAGCTCAGTCTGCTGCACGGCCGCAATCCCACGTGGTGTTGCCAAAGCGACGGTAGAGGACCCACAGACAACCATCCCCCATTCGGGTAGCAAACTCGAAACGGTGGTTAGTTGATCCGTGCAGGCCTAGCAATGAGGAGGGTACACGTATGTCCACTTCACCCTCAGGGTACCCAAAGGCAGAGCTAGTCATGCCTACAGCCGCGATCCCAGCATTCATCCACGTGGTGTTGTCAAAGCGACGCAGAGGACCCCCTCCATATACCCAGACAACATACAGCATCATACAGAAAAATTGGACTAACGGAATCCACACGTAACGCATAAGACAACGACAACGTAACGATGTTCAGCGCACCGGGGTATTGCCGCCGGGGGCTTTTTATTACACACTGTTGACCATACCAGGACCCACAAGCAAATAAACACCCCGTAATATACCTTACTATTGTGCGAACGGCCCGAATACCACAATGGTGCAGACCAGGAGGCCAATCGTCACCACCCTGACAGTGGTCAGCGTAGCAGGGCGGAGCCAAGCCACCAGCAGATTGTGATCAGTGGGAAGGTAAAAGGAAGGCAGCAGACGGCGTGATCCTCGTCTTGCGTGGTGTGTCCTGTCGTAGACTTCTGGACCACCAGACGCGAAGCTGCTCAGAGGCTTGACGCCGAGCGTGGGAGAGCCGGCCGCGACTACTCACGCAACGCACGCAGGTAACCCCGCAGCATGGTCAACTAGCAGCCGGAAGTCGAAGCCAAACCACAACGCGCGCGAGAGAGACGCAGGCAGCACGGAATAGAAATGAACAGAGTGCGTCGCAACGACACAGGAGCAGACAAGGTAAGAAAGAGAGCGCAGAGGCGCGTTGAGGACCGCGAGGAGCGGCCGCAAACAGACAAGCCAACAGGTGCACAGGTAAGAGAGAGCACGAGAGAGAGTGAGACGAGAGAGAGCGCGCACAGCAAAGAAGCGCAGAATGCGAGGCCCAGAGAGAGAGAGAGGCGGAGGAGGAGGAGACGAGAGAGCGCGCGCGAAACACACACGAAGCAGACGCGACGCAGGTAAGAGGATTACCAAGACGGACGTGGCAGTGCATAGGAGAAGAGAGAGCGGAGAGGAGCGACGAAGCAGAGCGTACTCAGCCAAAGCGAATAGAACAGGCAACAGGAGACGGCGCGGGAGAGCGAGAGAGAAAGCAGATATCGACACAAGCAAGTGCCAGCGCAAGCGCACAAAAGAAGCAGATGGCAGTCAGAGAGAGAGAGAGAAGAGAGAGAGAAGAGGAGCGCGGCAAAAAGAAGGCAGAGTGCGAAGTCAAGAGAGAGAAGAGAGAGCGACGAGCGGAGAGCCAACAAAGCATTGAGAGAGCGAGACGAGAACGACAGGCACTCCTACATCACTTACTATCGATTCGCGAAGGATGAGGCCGAATCACGTGAGCCGAGAGACACAAACAAGCGATTGAAGAGCGAAGTCGCGTGCGATATGCGCGGATCGAGGCCAAAAACACTAGCATATATACGAGAGAGCGATTTCGCGAGGACGAGGAGCGATGAGGCCAACACAAAAGATTTGCGTATTACATTGCCAGAGCACACGAGCGAGCACCAGAGCTCAAAAGCTGAAATATTGAAGCAGAGAGCACGCAACATGCTAGTCCGAAGCTGCAAGACTATATAGATTGAAGAGACAGCAGCGACACGACCGAGAACAAAAAGTATTCGCGAGACGAGGCCCAGAAGCGTAGACGTGACACGCACAAGAGTAGCGTCAGTAGAGAGCGCTATCAGTCGCAGAGCCGAACAAATGTCTGTGACGAGAGGCAGAATGAGCGAGAACGCCGAACAAAGATTGAGACGATAGCGGAACGAGACGACGCACAGAACAAACAAAGATTGAAGAGCAGCCACGAAGAGCGCATGGAGAGAACGAACAAAGATTGAGAGAGAGCGAGACGAGAGACAAACAAAGATCTGCGAGAGAGGCGTGAGGAGCGTAGACGGACGCAACAAGAGAAGAGAGGAGATGGCGGAGAGGCGACGAGAGCACAAACAAAGATTGTGAGAGGCGAAGAGGCGAAGAACGAACAAAGATTGAGAGAGCCCAGAGCGATGAGACGAAACAAAAAGATTGAGAGATGCCAGAGCGAGAGCGACAACAAAGATTGCAGAGAACGACTCCAGGAACGATGAGGACTGAACAGGGCTTAGTCTGAGAAGACGCCAGAGCGAGAGGAGCGAACAAAGATTTTGAGAGAGCCTACGAGGACAAGACAGCAACAAAGATTGAGAGAGCCAGAGCGAGCGACCGCAACAAAATTGAAGAGATGAGCGCAGAGCGGACGTCCGACATCCAAAGATGCAAGCGAGAGGAGATGGCACGAGTGCGAAACGCAAAGACAACAATTGGATGAAAGAATGCGAGAGCGAGAGGCTGAGCGTGCAGCGACAGAGATAGAGAATTGAGAGAGGAAGCAGGGCAGAGCGACGGGACGGCACACCAAAAGGTGAGCGCAAGATAAGCAGCAGATGAAAGATTTGAGGAGTAAGAGCGCGCAAGCAAGGTGAAAGGAGGTCGAGACGGTGCGAACAGCAGAAAGATTGAGAGATCGAAGAGAGACAAGACACAAGAGATGAGAGAGCGAGAGCGAGCGAGACAGGAACAAGAATTGAGAGAGAACACAGAAGCGAGAGAGAGCGGAACGAACAAAGATTGGAGAGCGAGAGCGAGGCAGAAAATAAACGAGAGCAAAGATTGAGAGAAGACAAAAGCGACGGACGAAACAAAGAACGAGAGAGCGAGAAGAGGGAGCAGAAGAAACAGAAACAGATTGAGAGAGCGAGAGCGGAAGCAGAACAACAAAGGGAGAGAGGAGGGCGGGAGAGAGCAGGGAAGGACGAACAAAGATGAGAAAAGACAAGAAAAAAAGTTTTTTTTGGGAAGTTCGAGACAGTGACCGAGGAACAGAAGAAAAGGATGAGGAGGGTAAAAAAAAAAAAAAAAAAAAAAAAAACGTGGCGGACCAAGAGCCGAGGCGGGCAAAAACCCGGGGGGGGGGGGGGGGGGGGGGGGGGGGGGGTTATTTTTTTCCCGGGGGGGGGGGGGGGGGGAGGGGGGGGGGGGGGGGGGGGGGGGGGGGGGGGGGGGGGGGGGGGGGGGGGGGGGGGGGCGGGGGGGGGGGGGAAAAAAAAAAAAGACCTGGGCCCCCCCGCATCCGCCCCGCCCCCCGCTCTCTCCTCTCTCTCCCCCCCCCCCCGCCCCCCGCCCCCGCCCCCGCCGCGCCCCCCGCCCCCCCCCCCCCCCGGGGGGGGGGGGGGGGGGGGGGGGGGGGGGGGGGGGGGGGGGGGGGGGGGGGGGGGGGGGGGGGGGGGGGGGGGGGGGGGGGGGGGGGGTTTTTTTTTCGGGGGGGGGGGGGGGCCCCCCCCCCCGAAAGGGCCCCCCCCCGCCCGCCCGCCCGCCCCCCCCCCAG